ATCGCAGCCGCAACACGCCTGGGGCTCCCGGGCAGGGTCTGCGCAGGTCGTCGAGGGTGGTCCGCCCACAGGGGGGCCCGGGACTAGGAATCGGTGATTTCAGCAGCTAAAGCCAGCTGTCCAAAGGGAGGAGGAGACCCATTGGCAAGTGGAGTCCAGTCACAAACCCTTGATCGTGAGACTCAGGCTGGGCCCTGGCGGTGCCTCGTGGACGAATCGCGGCGACCTGGGCAGGGGAGGAGGCTGGCTCCCCTTTGGGGCAGCGGGGCCTCGCCCCCTCTGTCCCTGCCTGCCCGGCGCCGAGCCTCCCTCGCACGGCCCGCCCCTGCTGTCTCATATCCGCTGCTGCCTTTGCACAAACGCCGCCCTGAAGTTCACCCCCCGGATCAGGGAAAGGCCAGGTCCTCCGCCCCTGGCTGAGACCATTCACTGGCCCGTGCTTTTTTCTGTAGCGAGGACAAAAGAAAGAAACCCACTGAGATCCGGGGATTCCGGCCCTGTCCCCACCTCACCCCGGGCATCTGAGGCTGTTCGCATCTTTGAGAGAAGGACCGCGGGAGGGAGGAGGGTTTGCAGACAGCAAAGGCGGTTCCGGCCTAAGGAAGACGTGGGGAGGCTGAGTGTGGGCGCCCTGCGGCCTGAGAGCCCCGGGCCGCGCCGGCGCCGGGACGCAGGGATGTGCTTGGCTCAAGCTCTGCTGTGGGTATCGCATGGGCTCTTCTTGGTTTTCTCTTGAGACGTCTTTTGGGGAAGCAGCCCTAGCGCCCGTCCCCTGAAAGTGCCCGAGTCCCCGCAGGGTCTGGGCCCAGAACATTCCACCGGACGGAGGACGGTCTGAAGCTGTCGCTGTCCCCAGTTCTTCATTCGGAGAAATCGTTCCCTCTTCTGGGGTGAACTTCGTATGGGGCGGGGGGAGGGGGCGGAAATTCGCAGTGAATGTCCTTGTTCTGCTTAAGGGTGTGTCCCTGGGCACCTGCCCCGCCCCCTGGGAACCAGGGCCTGCACCGGCAGCGGGCCAGGGGCGCGCGCAGAGGTCGCCCTGCAGAGCTGTGACCGGGGACGCGCGCGCGCGCACGGCAGACGCCGACCTCGCCTCTGCTCCCCGGGAACGAGGTTTGTCCCAGCCCGCGCCTGCCGTGCGCGTCCAGTTCTCCGTGGCGACCCCGACCCCGCAGGTGACGCGCGGCAGGCAGAGGCCTGTGGTGAGCATGTCACGGTCCTCCGCGTACGGGGACTGTCACCAGGGTTTGGTAGCCGGAGCTTCTAGCTCGACGACGCAGCTAAAGTTTTCTATTGCGTCTTCCGTTATTCGCAGTTGCGGGGTGAGTTTTGCTCTTTTGAAACAGAGCGTGGGTCCCCAAAGTTACACAGCGGTAGCTGTCAGGGCCAAAGAAGACCCTCCAACCCTCTTCATCTTCTGATGAATTAACAAAAACTCAAACTCCTTCTCCAAGGGGTCGGCAGAGATGGAAGCCGTTTCCTGAAAAGAGCTAACGACCCAAGAAAGCGTTCTCTGTCCCGGTAACTGGCTTAGAGGCTCCCCTTCGCGGAACAGCCGGGACTGTAACTGGCTCATGTGTGCACCCCTTCCCTGGAAAAGTCACACCCGCGGCCTGAGACGCTGGTCGGGCCTGTGTCCTCCCCGCCCCCGCCCCCTTAGCCTTCTCCGTTCATTCATCGGGTTTTATGAACAAAAATATCTAAGGTCTTCCCTGGCCCGCAGGCGCGCAGAGTCCAACCCAGTCCCTCTCCACCAGCTCGAGCTCTGTGACAAGGACACCCCACCGCTCGCTTCTCCAAGACCCTCCATGGCCTCTTGCCCCAGTTGTGGGCCCATATCCCTCCCCAACTAGGCCACCTAAAACCGCCAGCCAAGTTTCCTCCCCAAACTCACCGCTGCAAGATGACAAACTGATTTCATTCGCTGTCGTCTCCACTTGAATATAGACGCCATTAGGGTAGGTGCTCAGAAAACTGGCACCAAGGCCAGATTCAACCCTGGCTGTGTGGCTCAGTGGGTTGGAATGTTGTCCTGAGCACCAAAAGGTTGCGGGTTCGATCCCTGGTCAGAGCACATACCTAGGTTACGGGTTCGATCCCCAGTCGGGGCACGAGCGGGAAGCAACTGATTGATGCTTCTTTCTCACATCAGTGTTTCTCTCGCTCTCCATTTCTCTCTCTTTAAAATAAACATAGCCTCAGGTGAGGATTTAAAAAAGAAAAAAATGACAGATTTCAGCAGGGGCCCCTCAGGAGGCCCCCAGCACAACCAACGCACCAGCACAAGGAAGGTGACCGGGATGTGGCATCCAGGACCGCAGGACCCCTGCTGGAAAGAAATGATGTGGGAGGATTTTATATGGAAAGTAGAGCAAAAACATCAAATCTATGTCTGTAGCTACCTTTCGCGGAGGAGGGCAGGGGAGGTTATTGGGAAAGACACAGGCCAGCCTTGGGTTATATTTAGTATTCTTTTCAGGCTGGCTGGATAGTGCTTATATTTTCTTTTGTCCGCCTGAATTATTTAGAGTAAAAAAAAGAGGGTATATTGGAGAAGACAAAGTGTAAATGGGATAGGAGAAAAATTGTAAAAGTTTTAGAAATGCGGTGATATAGCTGGAGGAAAAGGATGATTTTTAAGGTGGGGTTGAATGTATGTTGCATGAAATTAGAGATTTTTATTTGCTTATTTTTTACTCTCTGCCATGAGCATCTGGAAAAGTCAGAGATGGGTGTGCTGGGCCATTCAGGGGCATTCACCATTTTATTTAACCCTCACCTGAGCATTTTTTTTTTTTTATTGACCTTAGAGAGAGAAGGGAGAGAGAGAGAGAGAGATACATCAGTTGGTTGCTCCCTTACATGCCCCAACTAGGGATCGAACCCACAACCTAGGTATGCGCCCTGACCAGGAGTCGAACCCAAAACTTCTTGGTGTACAGGACGGTGCTCCAACCAACGGAGCCACCCGGCCAGGTGGGAATCATGAACCCGGAAGTCAGGTTGCTCCTGGGCACTCACAAGGGGCACCTGAGAAGGACCTGTTCCGCAGGCTGGCAGGGAAAGAATTCTTTCAGAGATGTTTCTTCCCCTACACAAAGCTTCCAGGCTGACTTCCTGCCATGGGCGGTCCCTCTCCTATCACGCACAAAGCTTCCAGGCTGACTTCCTGCCATGGGCGGTCCCTCTCCTACCACGGGTCTCCCCACCTTTCTGGAAGGAAACAGGTCCATTTGACAAATACCGATTCTAAGTTAGAAAGAGCACGTGTGCCCTGAGGGGGTTTGGAGACAGAAATGGGACAGAAAAGGTCTCCCAGTCTCCAGTTCTCACTGCCCTGGGGCTCCTAAACCTTTTGAAGCCTGATGCTTTTTATAGCCGCCACTTCCCCGCAGAGTTCCCCGAAATGTCAGCATCTCCAGGGAGCCTGCACGCAGATCGACAAGACCTCAGTGGACAGACGTTCAGCCTACCCCCCTGTCCTTGCACTGTTTCCTGCTGCACCTAGCATGCTCTGCAAAACAGAAGCATTTTTAAAATTGATGAGTAAAAAAGAGAGAGGGAAAAAAACATCGATTTGTTGTTCCACTTATTGACGCATTCACTCATTCATTCTTGTATGTGCCCTGACCAGGGATCGAACCTGCAACCTTCATGTATTGGGATGATGTTTTAACTAATTGAGCTACCTGGCCAGGGCCAGAACAACAGCATTTAATAAATGTTTACCAAAAAAAAATTTTTTTAAAGCCCCAGCTTTGTACTTCAGTTGGTTAGAGCAGCATCCAATATGTCAAAGTTGTGAGTTCAGTCCCTGGTCAGGGGACATACCTAGGTTTTGGGTTCGATCTCTGGCCAGGGAGCCTGTGAGAGGCAACCGATCGATGTTTCTCACTCACATAGACCTTTCTCTCTCACCTTCCCTCTCTAAAAGCCACAAACAATTTCTTTGGGTAAGGATTTTAAAAAATAAGTGAAACAACAATTTGATGTCTCTCACTTTCTATTCCTTGAAAACAATATTTTTTTTAAAAAAATGTTTTAAATAAATGTTTACCAGAGACTGCGGGATGCACAGATCTGAGCACCGGCCACACTTTTGTGTGACTGACAGACATAGCTGGTACTACCTCAGCACTAAAGATTATTACTCTGGGCTGTGACCCATGTAAAATATTTTTTACACACCGGTGACTTACTGTAAGTCAAATTTCTAGACGTGTAATCAATGACTTAAAAACTCCAGAGAAAAGCCCTGGCTGGTGTGGCTCAGCCAACTGAGTGCTGGCCTGCAAACTGAAATGCCAGCAGTTCGATTCCCAGTCAGGGCACATGCCTGCGGTGCAGGCCAGGTCCCCAGTAGGGGGCGCACGAGAAGCAACCACATATCGATGTTTTCCTCTCTTTCTCCTTCCCTCCTCTCTCTAAAAATAAATAAATAAAATCTTTTTTTAACTCTAGAGAAAAATACATGCATAAAATGCAATATTACATAATGTAAACTACTAAAAAAATGAAGAGACTAATAAATTCTAAGACCTTTTGCCAAGGAGACTCTATTTTTATTTTTAATATGTGAAACGTTCCTTCACAAACGGTATGCCTGTCCCAGGCAGAGCGTGTCTTCAGAGGTTATACAACGTGAACGCTGATCATTTTAACATGAAAAGTGATTACATGAAGCAAAACTGTACATAGCTCAGGCGAAGTGCCAATTGAGCGACACAAGCCATTTCGGCTGGGTTAGAGCGTCTGTCTTTTCATACATAGCATGACAGGAAGTGTCGTGAAGTTTACATATTTCCTGTAGGGGAGCCTTGGGTTATATTTGCCACGATTTGCTGGCATTCAGCTGAATAAGAATGTGGGTACCAACGGTCTGCGGTCCACAGCATCCTCAATGAGCACCTTGCCCCGCCCCCAGAGTGGCTTTGGGGGCGTGGTCTCCTGAGGTTGGTGATGGATCCAGCTTCCCTCGGTCTTCCCTCGACGCGCGTCTGTTAATTCCATCCCATGACGATGTGAACCACAAGCAGGTAGCACATGCCCACCGTGCACGAGACGACCATCACCGGGAAGCCCAACCTGAAACCCAGAGAGAAGGGGGTTATGGTATCTGCCGTCTGGAGGGGCCAATGAGACCGAAAGCCATCGCTACATTGTTATTGCAAAAGAATACGTCCCTGGGAGCCTTCTGCCTCCACAAGGTCAAGGACTCTCGTGAACAGAAACCAAACCCGGGGTTTTAGCCTCGATAACATGGACTCACGCGCCTCGACTGACATCCCCCGCTGGGTGCCATTTTATTGGGGACCGGCTTAACAGTTTTGCAAATTGGTAATTGACTTTTCAGAGCCTCAGTCTGTTCCGACATGAGAGGGTTTGCCTTGAGGCCGACGCACTGTCAGTTTGTGTCACTGGGCCATTACTTAAATTCTGGGATGTGTCCTGTGGCCGTGTCAGCTCCCAGTGGCCCTTCCAAGACACCTGGTTTCCCTGGAAGGTCGTGTTCCTGCAGGGCCTTGAAGTCCCTCACGCTTCAAGCTGGGGGAGTTGGCGAGGTGGGGCTGGAAATAAGTTCTTGTCTAAGGAAGGTAGGATGGAAGAAGAGGATTTTCTTCTGTATTCGGTGAGGTGCAGGATGTACAGACAGATAAGCATGAATACGAAAGACGTCACGAAAACATGAAGGTCTCCCTCACCATACGCATCCCATAATGCACTTGTGTTCCCACACATTCCCATCCTGATGGGCAGATCCCAACAGATTCCTCCCATACCATCTGAGACCCATACTTTTAAGCCACTGTTGAATGTCTTATTGTCACTTAGAGAAGTCATTATGAAGGTCATGGTTTTTGTTCCAAAAAGCATTTGGTAAAATTCAACATTACCAGTCATTCATGGTAAAAACTTTCAACAAAGGGGGTATAGAGGGAACATAATAAAGGCCACGTGTGACGCATTTACAACTCACACTACACTCAGTTTTGAAACATGGGAAGCTTTTTCTCTAAGGTCAGGAGCAAGACAAAGATACCCACACTCACCGCTTTTATCTAACATGGTATTGGAAGTCCTAGCCACAGCAATCAAACAAGAAAAAGAAATAAAAGGCATCCAAATTGGAAAGGAAGTGGTAAATCTGTCACTATTTGAGGGCGACATGATATTATATATAGAAAAGACTCCACCAAAAACAACTCTTAGAACTAATAAATAAATTCACTCAACTTCCAAGACACAAAATCAGTAGACAAAAGTCAGTTGCATTGCTATACACTAATAAGAAACAGAAAGAGAAATTAAGAAAAAAATCCAGCCCCGGCCAGTGTGGCTCAGTTGGTTGGAGTGTTGTCCTATAAACCAAAAGGTCATGGTTTCGATTCCCAGTCAGGGTACATGTCTGGGTTGAGGGCTCAATCCCGATCAGAGTACATAGAAGAGGCAACCAATGGATGTTTCTCTCTCATATCGAAGGAGAAACTGACTGGGAAGTAAAAATGGCCAGTTATAAAAACACGGGGACGTAAAGTCCAGCTCAGGGAATAGAGTCAATAATGTTGTAAAAACTGTGTATGGTCTCAGGGGTACTAGACTTATTGAGGTGATCGCTTCATAAGTTATTAGACATAAGTAATGTCTAATCACTTGATTGTATACCTGAAGCTAATATACTATTGTATGTCAACTGTGGTTGAAAAGTAAAATAATTTAAAAATAAATAAATTAAGAGTGGCCTTTTGATGAAGAATATTACAGGTGAGGCAAACTTGAAGTGTGATTAATTTTTATTTAGTAGGTTCCATTTTAGGAATTCAGGTCTCTCTTTTTTTTTTTTAATTCATGATTCCAGAGGCACTGGGGGGCATACCATTTCAGCAGTCGGCTTTAGCTTTTAGCATCAATCTTTTGCTGAACCTGAAACCCGGTAGAGCCTACTGGGTTCTAAAACCCAAGCAGCTTGTCTTTCTGGATTACAGAACTGTTCAGACGTGACCATGCCAGGCTGTGTGCGCTTGTCTGTGTTCGGGGTTAACACACGTGCACCAGGAGAACAACCACAGAAAGGATGGGTGGGAAGCTTTGTGTTTGATGGGCACCCCAAGAGGAGCTTGGGCTGGTTTGCTATTACACCCATCACAAACAGAGAGCCTAGTGTACGGGTATTTGAAATGCCCTGGCCCAGTGGCTCAGTAGGTTAGAGCAATGTCTCGACACACCAAGGTTGCAGGTTCGATCCTCAGTCAAGGCACATACAAGAGGCAACCAACGAATGCATAAATACGTAAAACAAATTGATGTTTATCTCTCTCCAAAAAAAAATCAATCAATGAAAAAATTTTAGACTAAAACATTGTGCTGAAATCTTTTAAAAATCATATATCATGGAGGAAAAAATGTGGTCTCATCTGAAGTGGCGGGAGGGGAGAGAACTTGCTAGAACTTTCCCTGGGCTCTCACAACAGCCTCCCATGCGGCCGCGAGCATCCAGGGGCAGAGGGAAGCCAGGGATAATCCTGAGGGGAGCCTGCTTCCAGCTGGGAAAGGCCAGTCACAAGACTAGACTCCGTGCACCAAACAGGATTTGAGAGTTTCTATATTAGTGGGAAGCTAGACATTAGGCTTCTTGTAAGAGAAGAAAGAAAAGATGCAGTTCACTTAATTATTATTATGTCCCAAGTATCGTGCTATGAGCTGTACGTGTGTCTTTTAATTATTTTTTTCAACAACCTGGACATCATTGGATAGCATCATTGCTACATTACAGGAGAGAAGACTGTGGTGCAAGGAATCATTCTAGAGACAGAAATCAGCTAGAACTGATTTCTAATGAGACGCTAAAGTTCTGGGGGTTTCTTAAAGTTGTCAGCAAAAGAAAGCATCATGTTAGAATTAGGGAAAACGTGGCTGAAAGAACAGTCTTTATCTTTTTTATTTTTAAGTCCTCACTTGAGGATTTGTTTATTAATTTTAGAGAAAGAGAAAGGGAGAGAGAGAGAAACATTGATTGGTTGCCTCCTGCATGTGTCCTCACCAGGGACTGCACCCGCAACCTTGGTATTATGTGCCCTGACTGGGAATTGAACCTGCAGCCTTTTGGTGATTGGATGATGCTCCAACCAACTGCGCCAGTGCTTTAATGTGCCTGACATGTCCCCCCACCATTACTTTCAAGGAAGTGTTATATCAAAGCAGCCAGGCCATCTGAGCCCTGAAAACATGGGGAGAAGGTAGGCTGTGGGTTCTGCCATCCTCCCTCTTCCTGGTGCCCCAGCCCAGGCCAGTCTGTCCTGGACGGTGGGCTGGGTCCCTAGGCTGCTACTATTCTCCCCAGCCACCGTCGGCCACTAACCACCATCCTTTGGAAGGTGGGCTCTGGAGTCTCCCCACAGAGAGCTCTGTTACTCCCCAAGATGCTGCGGGCATAGGGTCTTGACCTGTAAACAATATTGGACCCAGGTCTGGCTCCCTGCTGCTATGAAAGCCAATACTTGAGAGGCAGGCACTGGCGTTAGGAAAAATGGTTTATTCAAGAGCCAGCAGCCTGAGAAGACGGGGGACTCGCGTCCCAAAGCCCATCTCCAACTCTCAGTGCAGGCAGGCATCTCTGTGAGGAGAGGGAGGGAAAGCAGAATAAAGAGACCGAGGGAGCGGATTTTAAAGTTCTCCCCCTGCAGACAAGCGCAGTACGTTCCGATAAAGATCTCAACACTGGTAGAGCAGTGGTCTGCTGTGCGTCATCCTGGCTGAAGGTCAGCAAATCTCCCAGAGCTGGAATGTCTTATACGAACACGTAGTTTATCTACAAGCTACGTGTCAGTCAGAGTCCGCACTTCCAGAAACAAGGTCGAAATAATGGCAGGGTGGGTTACATAAAGGCTACCTTCTTTCGCAACATGACCCCCTTTAGCCCCCACATGGGTTTCTTTGTATGTCTCTAAGTGTCCTTCAAAATGAAATTCCAAAGTCAAATACATTTGAGCAATGCTGGCTAAAGAATGACACAGGTTACTCGGGTAAGTAACCGCAGGATTCTCGGAATCTAATATTTAAGGTGCCCTGTGGTTCTCTAAGCGTCGGGCGTATTACGCAGTGTTTCCAAATGAGTCTGCCCTGAGTCCCCTCTGTCCTCTGTCCCCTGAGTTACTTGAAGCAAGCGGTGTTCTGCGGGATACACTTTAAAGAGGAATGGACAGAGACAAGATTGAGGACCAAGAATTAGGGACATAGCAGGGCCCAAAACCTCTTTTAGTTACTTAGGTGCAAAGAAAGGGAAGAGTAAAAGGCCAGGGTTCATGTTTGTGTCTCGCTGCAAAAGAATGCGGGAGAGTTACTTCCGTTCTGAATATTCAGGATTATCCTGACCGTACATAACAGTACCTTTTCCGTCTCAATCTAAGGCGCGTGTCTCCCTTAATAAATTTCACTCCACTGCGGCCATTGGACACATCAGCAACATTTATCAAGGCTCGCAACTCAAACTGGGCATTTTCAGGATTAAAGAGTTCGTCGTAAAGGGTAAAGGGGGGTCACATATTTGCAGACAGAAGATGTGACTTTGGGTGGCGGACACACAATGCAATATACATACACATCGTGCATCCTAGACATATACACTTGAAATGTACGTAATTTGATCAACCAATGTCAGCCCAGTAAATTTAATTTTTAAAAGAAGATGCGGAAGCAAATGCAGAAAGGAAAAAGAGCTAGCCGCTTCACAAAGCATTCCATCGTGGGCTCCAATTGATAGGTAATTGAAAGGTGGCGTTTTCAGTGCGTCGAATGCTGCTTGTACTCCCGGCTCTTCATTCCTGTTCCCTGCAGTACCATGGAAATACCATCTCTCCCGGGGACTTCCAGGCCCCCGGAGACTCCTTCCCCAGTTCTCCCAGTGCCTTCAGCTCTTTGTCAGATGAAAGCGACTTTCAGTCTTTGATGATTCTCATCCCCGCTTCCAAACTCATTCCTGTGTCCCGCCTCACTAGATATTAAAGCAAACTGCCCCCAACCGCAAGCATCTCTGGTGACCCCTGAGAGGGTGTGCTTCACTGTTATCATGCCACTCAGAGAGGACAATG